CAGAAACCTATTTAATCACACCTTCAAAAAAACAGAATCTTAAAAATGTCTTTTTTATTGATTTAATGTTTACAATCCAATACAAAGTGGTACCACAACAACACAGTCCACGTGATTTGTTTTCAGCTGCTGGGTCTGCGGGCAGGAGGCCTGTCTGTCCGACTTTACTGCTGCAGCCGGGCACCAGTCTGTGTCCAAGCCTGAGCACTTCCTGTGTCCTCGTCTCCAGGAGGCAGTTCTGAGAGCACCGCTGTCCCATCATCCATCTCAGCAGCAGGTCCAGCGCTCTGCCCGAGGACCAGCCTGTGCCCAGCAGGTACAGCTCTGCGGCCAGCTCTCTGCAAACCTCACTGGCTTGTGATTGTGCTCAGACAGGAAGAGCACCACCAGCACAGTGAACCCCAGCCCCGCGGCCCCAACATCTCAGCTTGGGCGCAGCAGACTGCAACACGAGCAGTTTTATCTGTGAGCAGTCCGTACAGCACGCCCCTCTGGGCAGTACCCTCTGTGGGAAGTACCCTCAGCAGGGTCATACAGTACACCTCTCTGGGCAGTACCCTTGACATGATTGTGCAGTACGCCCCTCTGGGCAGTACCCTCTGTGGGAAGTACCCTCAGCAGGGTCATACAGTACACCTCTCTGGGCTGTACCCTTGACAGGATTGTACAATACACCCCTCTGGGCATGTCCTCTCAGGATCATACAGTGCACCCCTCTGGGCAGTGCCCTCTGTGGGCTGTGCCCTCAGCAGGGTGTGCTGATGTTTCTGTGGACACAGATCTCCCACACACACACACCAGGCTTGAATTCCTCAGGATTGTCATTCGCAGTGTAGAGACTCAGACCTTCCACTGCTGGTTTTCACTTGAGCTCTGACACACTAGCTGGTACATTTTCTAAATTGTATTGCTTTTATGAATAGAAAAATATATATTTTTTTTCGATTTAGAGTGCGGTAGTGCACTATATATTTAGGGGTCTTTAATCATATGAAAAATAGCTTTAAAAGGTGCCCCATGGTTAAGGTGCTGTGGGCCGACAAGGCTGCAGATTTCAGCCTCACTGCAGTCCAGCAGAGAATCAGGACAGTTCCTGCTCAAAAATATTTGTATGTACAGGTCTCTTGCAGGACATCTATAAGACATTACTAAAACAGCTATTTTCCACTTCAATTACTTTACAGAAAGCTAACATCACTGTGATTACACTGATATATCTGACTGTGCTTTAAGATGACTCTCACCCCTGTTCAACTCCGAGACCCTTAACAGCACAGTTTCTGAAGCAGGTGTCCAACACTGTCTTTTTCCAGACACAACGTCAGCACCTGTTGGCCTGACTTACTCGGCAGTGCCAGGCCAGGTCAGGCCTGGGACAGGAGCCCAGTAAGTGTAAGTGGTGTTGCTAGACCAGTAGGTGGCAACTGTACTGGTCAGTATCTATCCCAGGACGCTCACTGTAAGAACAGGGGTGTTGACCCCTAAAATCACCTAGAGCAGCAGTTTCTCTCTCCTCCCCGATCTCTGTGCACTTGAGTGGGGGGCGAGATGGGTCCCCTCCTCTGTGCAAAGCACTGTGGGACGCTTCAGCATGAAAGGCGCTATATACAGTACTTGTCAATTGTCAAGGGCACGGCTCGCCTGTGGTGTCACCCAGCCAGGTCAGAAGACGTCAAGAGGCTCGATCCGTGTTCGCTGACCCAGCCAGCCGGAACAATCTGCAGTCGCTGTGGGACACAGCTCCTAGCGTCCAGCGCTGCTCCTCCCTGCCCAGCTCAGAGTGACCGCAGACTGGCAGTGTCCAGTCCCCTCACGCCCTCTGGGCCTCTCCGTGAGCCCCCCTGGCGGCCCCAGGAGTGTCTCGCTTTGTCCCGCTGAGTGGGACCGGAGCAAGAGGAGGCGAGGGCCGCTCCTGTGTCAGGGGACATGTTTCTGCGCTCTGCCGCCGAGCCAGCTGCTGTCTGGGTGTGTCAGGGGTCAGAGGTCAATAGTGTCACTGGAAACGCTGACTGAGTCCGCCTGCCGGCTGATCTCCAGGAAGCTCCTCCTGGCTTCACTGTCGGGGTCCCCCTCTGCCCCCGGAGAGAGGAAGGGCACGGTGTCGTCCTCGGGGGTACAGGGCCTGGCTTGGGCGGAGGCCCGGGACAGGGTGAACGAGACGGGACAGGACAGGGAGGGGGGGACCCTCCGGCTGCTGGTGTCCGCCCCCCCTGGACCCGGGGCTGCGGGCAAGCCTGCGTCCGGCCTGACGGCGCCCCCTGCTGGAGCGGCCGGGCT